GATAAAGGTGTCATAAAGGCAGCAGCTAAATAACAAACAAGGCCCTTTCAAATGTGTGTACTTCTCTGTCCGGTCGGCCCAGTCTGTATCCCTGTCTGGTCGACTCAGTCCTGTGCTTCCTTCACCCCACGGACCTTCTGCTCCTCTGTGAACGTCCCTCCAGGTTATGTGTGTGACAGGAAGGACCTGCTGGTAAACGGTTGCTGTAACGTCAACGCCCCCAGCTCCAGACAGTACATCTGTAAAAGCTGCCTGACCAACGGCTGCTGTAATGTCTACGAGCACTGTGTGTCCTGCTGTCTCCAGCCAGATAAGGTAACCAGTCTGTGGCACTCGGGTCAACAACTGATTTGTCCGAGTATTTATTACAAACATACCAGAAAGACCTGTCCGTTTTTTGTTCTCTTTGACAAAACTGCAAAGCCTTTGACTTTGGACGGGTCACTGAATGGCACAGCCCCAAAGGCACTGTAAGAAAGTTTGGTGGTTTTTGTGAACGGAAAGACTATTCAAATGTAAATACATGCAATTGTTTTTCCAAGTTTGTAATGTTTTTTGATTCTCTGAACGTCCCTCACTCAGCAACCTCTGCTGGAGCATTTTCTGAACCGAGCCGCGGATGGCTTCCAGAACCTTTTCACGGCTGTGGAGGACCACTTTGAGCTCTGTTTAGCCAAATGTCGGACATCGTCGCAGGTAGGGTTGTATTGTTTGTGTGTTCATAAAACGAGCAGCTACGTGTGAAAATGAACAGTTTTGCTTTTCCTTAACGATTAAATATCCAGAAGCACCAGACTTCACCCGTGTCTTTTCACTCAGATACGCCCAAGAGATTCGTGCAAAGCTAACGTTGGATTTTTCCCTGTCCACCCCCCCCCGCAGAGTGTTCAACATGAAAACACCTACAGAAATCCTCAAGCGAAGTACTGTTATGGAGAAAGTCCACCTGAACTTTTACCTATATGAGCGCTGGGTCCTCTGATAACGTCAAGAGCGGAACAAACACAAGGTTATAAGTCAGGATGAGCATGTTTACGCTCCATGGCAGTATTTCATCTTCTGTTCTCATACTGGCCTTAAACAGCCTTACACCATTCGTTGCCATAGAGATGGACTGCAGGATCTCCGGAGCTACGTGTTACATCGAGGGAGTTTGCGAGACTGTGTCCAGGCACCGTGCGGAACTGTTACAACAAATGTGAGGAATCGTTTCTCTGATGAACACTCGCGTAACGTCAACTAAGCAGGACAAAACATTTGATTTACACTTCATCGATGATGATCATCGGCTCTCGTTTGCTTGACGACCTTGATTCGCTTCCGGCTGTCGTTGTTCCACCTGCAGTTGTGTTCCCCGAAGCACGCAGCCGAAAGTGTTTCAAAAACATTTTTTTCTAAAAAAATGACACACAGGCTTGGTTAAATCTCAGCCTCTTTCAGTAGATTTTTTTCTTTTCTGTGTGAAATGAACGTGAGCCATGGAATATTTGTTTGAAGCTGCGATGTACTGATGGACCATAATTGGTGAAAACAGCCTCCAGAATTATTGGGGGGAAAACTATCACTTTTGCATGCAGTTTTGAATGCATGCATGTGGATGGACTGGCAACTAAATGAAGTGACTAAAAAGGTTTAGGCTTTCTTTGCATCGTAAAGTACTGTATACACTAATTGGTAGAGCTGTATAAACATGTAAAACGTGTGTGTGTGTGTGTGTGTTTTTGTTTAATACTATAATACGTGAAGGTGTGAATTTTCATGAGCTTGTAGCTTTTGAATCCATTTAAAGAGCTACGGTTTTAGATGTAATTAAATGAACATAGATGTGATGGTTTGACAACCTATTTATCGTTGTCTTCCAGCAAATATAGGTAGACACAGAAAACAGTTATGCAGTTTTTTTGTTGACTCTGGTCTGAAGTGGTGCACTATAATACGAGAAATAGGATACCATTTGAGAGTGAGACCTGCCAAACGTGGTTGTTTGAGATGAAGAGTAGCCCTCCTCAGCCGGTTCTACCGTCCTCAGCCCCAGGCTAAAATAAAGTTTTCCATGTGGGAAACCGCTGGAGCTAAACAATTAATCACCCGTGAAAGCAAAGGCAACCGTCTTGGTTGTAATTAGAAATTATATGAAGGTCCTTGAATGGAAATGTGATTAATTACGGTCACATGGGAAAGGGACACGCTGTGTAAGTTATGCCAAACTGTTCTCACTGTCATCAAACTATTACCTCCATGTTGTCATGACGTTGTCACGCAACCATTATTGCATCATTGTTAATACAGAAATTCGTGTGTACTTGGGTTTCATTCAGGAAAAAGCTATTTTAACTATGTCATCATGCCATTGTCTCTAAATATGCTGTTGCATCATTATAGTATTACAGAAGTTAGAACGTCTTGATACAATAGGCTCCATAATAAAAACAGAAATGCAGATCTATGGGGTCAAGAAGGGTTTAATTCACATGTTTTTCATGATATGCACTTAAAAAAAATAATATATATATATATATATATATTCGTTACATATTTTTCACTTTAACATGTACATTTAGGACGAGCTGTTAACATTATTCATTGATAAAAAAGTATTACAAAAATAATTAATACAATAAATAATCTTTGTATTAAATACGCTTAAATAAATAGCGGGTAAAAAACAAATGACCACAGACAAATGCACTTAATAAAATGATAAAAATGCTGAATTCCTCTGCCAATACTACTCCGTGACCCGATCCTTTTCACCTGGCCGTAGCACTTTATATATGACCCAAACCAGAAAGCGCTGGGATTTATTCAACAGAGATGTGCTCCACTGCTTCCTCCGAAAGGGAGCGTCTTTAGGCGGCATATTGGGGTGGGACGTCTTCTGGGTGCAGCCAACCCCCATGGTTATGTTGAGACAGACGGAGAGCCTCTGGACCATGTTAATAGAATGCGCTAAGTTCTCATGAATTTCTGTTTTTTCTGGGTTCATATAATTCTTTTGGTCATTGAGAACTTGGTTCAGGGCGGTAGTTATGAAGTCTAATCCGCACTGTACTCTCTCTTCTCTAGACAGGTTTCTGTGGACGTCCAAGTCTGGGAACCATACGGGGTGGTATTGGATGTTTGGTCCGTTGGCTTTTTCCTGGGTAGAAGAGATTAAGAGAGAAAAAGTTGGAACAGTGAGGAAAATGCTAATGAAAACGAAGAGCGACATGTAAAGAAATTAGAAGACGCTGTAAAACTGGCGAGGCTATCGTGTTATCATAGTATATAAGGAGCCTCCAAAAAAGGCCTAGTCCTTCCAGAGCAAGGATCGGTCGAGACTTGCCAATCTGCCATCCGTCATGGTATGGGGGTGTGTCAGTGCCCATGGCTGGGTAACTTGCACATCTGTGAGGGCACCATTAATGCAGAAAGATATGTACACATATTGGAGCAACAAATTCTGCTACTCACTGGTAAACAGTGGACTGTCCCACATTTTTTGGAGTGTGTTGCAGTAAATTGAAATTAGTGTATATTTTCTAAAACTATTATATTGACAAAGGAGAACATGAAATAATGCGTTTGAATTGTGTTTACAATATAGTGCAGAGTACTCTTGTTTTGTTCCATTTTCCATTCTGTACCAACTTTTTTGAAATTGGTGATGTATATTTTGATCTCAAAAGTAGGAGGATGTAGTTGGAAAATGAATAAGTAACAAATAATAAAAGGATCGGACTAACAAGAGAACAGGTGCCAAATCTTTAATAATTTGATCGACCTGTTGTTGCGGCTGAATACGCCAACTTGTAGTGTATACAAGGTTTAAACCCGGAAAATTTCTCCAAACCTCATGACATAACGTGCAGAATAGCGTGACACAAAAAACTAAAACAAAGAGGCGGTCGGATGCAATAATCCGGCTACGGGCGAGGCAGTGTTCCTGCCAGGATCCAATACACGCAACCGATGTCACTCACCCTACTGCAAGGCACTTTGGGTAAAGGAGCATGTCAAGGTTGTAGCTACTCACATAGCAGGTTATGGAGTCGTTGATGAGCTTTTTTGTGAGTACGGTTAGCCTTTCTGCCCTGCAGCCTCGCCCTCTTCCTGTGGCCGGTTGTTCTTTTAGGGGAAAAGCCTTGAGATTGACAGCCGCCAACAAGATGTAAAGTGCTTTCAGATGTCCTGAGAAAAAGAACCCACACAAAATCACAACATATTACAGTTCTCACAAAACTCAAATAGCATACGTGTGAGTTCGTATTGTTCACATGTTTTGCTGTGAATGTGATGGAGTGTGGCTGTGGATACATATTACCTGCAGTTGAATTGTAATAAAACATTGTATGTGGAATTAGTCCTCAGAGTTTTTCCTGCGTGTGGTTTGGTTAGTATGTGGCGAATTAATTGTCCAGCCAAGGTGCCCAAGTGAGTGGCCACACTGTTATATTTTCGTCTTGCTTGTGTGAAAGGATGAACACGTTCTGACAAACTTCTTTTATAGAGTCTTGTCACACTACCGGTGGAAACCCATGGGAAAGATAAATTGGGATGTATTTCCTTTTGTGTGTTTTTGTGGTAAACTGAACGCCACTGAGTTGTCTTGGCTTCGCTACTGAATCATTCTTGTAAAGTTAGCTAAAATTTTACCTGTTTTTCAACTTGACAACAGGAGCAGGAAGCTTAGTTGCAGAAAGTGATGCAAGCACAAAATGATATCTAAAGACCGGTCAGATCAGGCGGGAAGATATGCAATGAGGTTTGCGTACAGGAACACAGTCATTCCATGCTTAATAGCTTCTGTTCAGTCATGTGTGTATCGAAGATTAAAGGCACAGTTCAGCATTTTTTCATCAAATCATGTTCTGTGTAAGAATTAAGATTACTCAAGCAGTGTGTCCAATCCAATTGTTTAAGTTGCCAAATTGAATCATTAGACGTTGTAAGAGAACACTGCATAAAGTTCCAGATAAAACTCGTCAGATCATATGGAACCCACATGAACACTATGTGTAGTAGTTGTAAGGTCAGTGGTAGAGTGTATGCTTTCTAGGGATGATGTCCTGGGTTCAATCCCCAGCTTCTCCCCAGGTCGAGAACAAATGAGAATTTTTTTCAATCGGCCTAGTTGGTTAAACAAACGTTAATTTTAAAAAAGAATTATATGTGCGGTGCCTTGCAAGGGAATTAAAACCAGTATTCCCTAATTTTACTGAATTACAAATCACACATTGGCATTTGTAAGTGAATTTTGAAACTGAAAAAACATCTATATTCAAACCCTGTGCTGTCGAAGCTCGTTACCACAGATGAAATTGCTTCCACCAATTATACCTTTAGAGTTGCTGTGACGTTTTCTGAACTTTTGAAGGATCATTAGTGAGGCTGTGAATAGATTAAAATTAAGACCAAAAAGAGTTCTTTGAAAGGTAAAGATAGGATAATACAAATGTATATAGTTGGTTGGATATATTTGGCTACAAGTGAACATTTGATCCTCAAGGTTGATGTGTTAGAAGCAGGGAAAAGGGCCAGTGTAAAGATCTGACTTTGACATTGGCCATATTGTGACGGCTACACAACTGGGTCAAAGCATTTCAGAAATTGCCACACTTGTGGGGTGTTCCCGGTCTGCAGTGGTTAGTAGTCATCAAATGGGGTCTGAAGAAAAAAAAGTGGTGAACCGTTGACAGTGTCATGGTTGACCAAGGCTCATTGATGCACGTGGGAAGTGAAGGCTGGACCGTGTGGTCCGAACCAACTGACGAGATACTGATGCTCAAATTACTGAAAATACTGGTTCTGTTAGATAGATGTCTGAACACACAGTGCATACACAATATACACAGCGCGTATACAATATACACAGCTCGTAGACAATATACACAGCACATACACAATATACACAGCGCGTATACAATATACACAGCACATACACAATATACACAGCGCTTATACAATATACACAGCTCGTACACAATATACACAGCACATACACAATATACACAGCACATACACAATATACACAGCACATACACAATATACACAGCACATACACAATATACACAGCGCATACACAATATACAGAGCGCATACACAATATACACAGCGCATACACAATATACAGAGCGCATACACAATATACACAGCGCATAGACAATACACACAGCGCATACACAATACACACAGCGCGTACACAATATACACAGCGCATACACAATACACACAGCCCATACACAATACACACAGCGCATACACAATATACACAGCACATACACAATATACACAGCGCTTATACAATATACACAGCTCGTACACAATATACACAGCACATACACAATATACACAGCACATACACAATATACACAGCACATACACAATATACACAGCACATACACAATATACACAGCACATACACAATATACACAGCGCATACACAATATACAGAGCGCATACACAATATACACAGCGCATACACAATATACAGAGCGCATACACAATATACACAGCGCATAGACAATACACACAGCGCATACACAATACACACAGCGCGTACACAATATACACAGCGCATACACAATACACACAGCCCATACACAATACACACAGCGCATACACAATATACACAGCGCATACACAATATACACAGCGCGTACACAATATACACAGCGCATACACAATATACACAGCGCGTACACAATATACAGAGCGCGTACACAATATTAGGCAGGAGGGTGGTCATAATGTTACAGCTGATGGGTAGGGATGTGACACTAGCTCGTGCCAAGAGATCTCGCTTTATTGAAAGTGACGATATTTCTCGTCCGGGTAAATCTTGCGGTATCAGCATGACAGAGCGCGTGGCTGAAGTTAAGATAGAAGATGCCTGTGCCACTTTTACACCGTTTGTGGTTACCCAGTGGAAACATAAATGGCAACAGAGTGACAGACAGGACCCAAACAATATGTGAGTACTGTAAGAAAATATTCAAGCCACAGTGTACGGGACTATTTTCTTACAGTACTCACATATCGATTTTAAGCTGCTTTTACAGTGCATCTGTCTTTTACTGCATATTATAATTCATACTCAGAAAGTATAACTGAAGTGACATTCGTCACCAGATGATCAGTTAAAACATGTCAAAATGCACATGCATTGTTTTGCATTTTGAGAATTTCAGTCAAATAAAATATTCAATCAGTGAAGATTTCTAAAAACAGCGTTTAAATATCTTCTTGTCTTGTTCTCGTGAATCCAATTTCGGGTATGTAAATATATATGTGTTTGTATGTGTGTGAGGAATTAGCAAATATACGTTTTATGCATCAAACCTAATAAAAAATGCTAATTCTACTCCAGCATTCCTTCAATTTAGTGGAGAATAGAATTGACATATTAATGTTGAGACAAATGTAGTAAGCACATGATGCGTATGTGAATGTAATTGAAACACCAGTAGCCCCTCTTCTGAACCCAATCTGTCTCTCTCTTCTCTCTCCATCCCTCTCTAGACAGGCAGTCTATCAAAATCATGAGGTTCAAAGTGAAGGTATCTTTACTAAATCTAAGAGGTGTTAGAAAACTCACGGAGAACAATTATTCTCATATTTATATTTCACCATGTTCCTCTTTCCATGCTTTTCTTAGTAATGCCACCCCAGTCAATCGCTAGTGATACGCTCCAAAACTGGCCCTACATTCAATTAGCTCTTCAAAAGCTTTGTATCTGCTTCAGTAAAAAAAACATAGAAGCTGAGAATTAATTTGAGTGTAGTCATTAGTTTGTTTGGTTATGACAGTCGTTAATGTAACACGTCATGTATGGGTCATTCTAGGACACAGTGCCTTTTGTATAATTTGAACTGAAATGTGGAAGTTAAGCATTTTTACTATTAATCGTTTAATAAAACTGTGTATGGCCGTCATTAGGCATTACAATTCCTTTGCGATCTTTAAAATATATATTTAGGACTGTCCCAATCATAAATGACTGAACCCTAAATATTCATTAACCTTAAAGAAAATTAAGTTGCTCTGTCCTTCCTTTCTGATGCTTGATAGAATACATTTTCAATCTGATAGTTCAAGATAATTGTTTATAACTACTAAAAACCTGTAATCAGTGCAGTCATTTAGTCTCATTGGCGTTTGGATGGATGTGATAGACAGCACATTCCACCGCCATCATCAGAAAATCACTTCAGAGAATATATTTTCGAAGAATGGTGTTCCAGTAGATATGGCAAACAAATGACTTAAAAACGTACATGGAAAATAAGTATGTACTGGCCAAAAATTTACCCTAAAATGTGTATTTAAAAAAGACTGAATACTAAATACAAAAGATTGAATGCTACAAAGATACTTTTTTAGGCTTTGCTTACAGCCCAGATGCTTATCTATTAATTACTACAATTGTATTTATTTTTTATTTATTTTTCCTTTATTTAACCAGGAAGTCCCATTGAGATTCAGAATCTCTTTGACAAGGGAGACCTGGCCAAGATAGCAGCCAAATCACAACAAATGCATACATAATAAACCAAGTTACATTTTCATGATAAAAAAAAGTACAAAAAACACAACGAGACTCAAGAAAAACAAGAACATATCTCCTTCACCACAGTCTTTACAGTAATTCTAAATTCATTTATAGACATAAGTATTTTTAACTTTCTTTCTGAAAATTATTCCACCCCCAAGGTGGTGAATAAGAGAAGGCAGTTTTTCCCAATTCGGTTGCAGCTCGTGGCACGTTAAAAAGCAGCCACTTTGAGGAACGTATCTGACAGGTACCAGAGCAGACAGAGAGGAGGTTTGCGAGGTACAGTGGAAGTTTGCCAAGTATAGCTTTATAAACGAAGATATACCAGTGCTGTTGTCTACAAATTTTTTGTAATGTCCAGCCAACTAAATCATAAAGAATGCAGTGATGGGTGAGGAACTATGTATTTGTTATGAATCGTAGAGATGCATGGTAAACTGAGTCAACATGACACAAGATGGAAGATGCAGCATGCATACAATATATCTCCATAATCAATTACAGACAGAAAAGTAACTTCCACAAGTTTTTTCTTAGCACTAAAAGTAAAACAGGATTTGTTTCTGAAATAAAAGCCAAGCTTAACCCTAATTTTCTTGACTAAAGCAGTAATATGTTCATTGTAGGGGAGCTTCCATCCATATCCCCAAGTACTTATATGAAGACACTCTCTCAATTGAAATCCCATCTGGGGACAAGAGACCACAGTTGTCCAGTAGCTGTGCTCAAGCTTTTGAGATTACCATAAACTTTGTTTTCTGTGAATTTAAAATTTTTTTAGACAATTGGTACTCTTAAAATGTTCACCCGACACGGCCAGCAGGAAACTACCCAACCCTTAGAGCCTAGTTCCTCTCTCTGTTTCTTCTTAAGTTTCAACCCTTACAGGGCATTTTTCCTAACCACTGTGCATCAACCCTGTAGTTGCTTGCTTTTTAGAGTTCAGGCTGGATGTTTTGTAAAAGAACTTTGTGACAACTGCTGATATAAAAAGACAGATTTACAAAGTAAATTCGGCACAATTTGTCTGACTGACTTTCTTCCTTGAGGGAGGGAACGAGGTACCACCTTGGGAATATGCATTGAGCATATAACGCACACTCAAACAGTGTTGTGCCTAAAACTGTGACCCCTGGTTCCCTAAAAGAGACATCCTTTTTAGCCAATAAATTGACCGGCGATAATAAAATAATTTCACAAACCAAAACGGCCATAACGATAGAGGCAAGTTCTAAGCCACGAGCATTGTACAGTCCTGAACTCTGTTCACTCCACAAATCGACAGTGTAATTGCAGAGCAGCCGATCAAAAGGTATTCCAAGAAAAGTCAGAGACAAACTAATTATCTATAAAAAACACCAGCGAAAGCAGAACTGCAGTGTGCTGAACACGTTAAATTAGCGTTATACAGGCGTAGCTGGGTATTTAGCACAGGGCTGGGATTTCTGCTGCTACACACCTGTAGATACAATTCAGGAAAATTGTAGTAATGATTTGTTTTCGTGGATTTGGTTGACCCATGCATTTTAAAGCGAAAGG